GTTTTATGTCTACTAAGGGGCTTTGCAGCTATGACAGGGCCAAATACTGGCTATTTAAACATCACAATAGCAAGTGCATATGTGTGTGTGTGTACAACAAAATCTAGAAATACTGTCATTATAAGAAGTGCTGCGTGTTTAGGGGTGGGGAAGTGCTGCAGAATCACGGTTTGGGACTGCCAAGAAGCAAAGATGACAGAGGACCCCAAGGCTTCTCAAATTGGGGTCAGGAAACCTGCCTCAGAATCTTCATTTTTCTTGCACCAGATCTGACTTTTCCTTGGTGTTACCATTTGTAAGTTTCCCTCAAAACAAAGAGAGAGCACCACAGGCTTTGCTGCAACTGGTCTGATTTGCACCATCAAGTGGCAATCTATGCCTCTGGTGAGCAAATTAATAGGATTAAAGCTGCTATCAACCATGCTGCAGCAGAAAGAATTCCTACCACCCAGCTGCACATGGTTATCACTAATGTGAATCCTCACAGTCGCAATAATAGAAAATGAGTATCACTTCATATTTTAAAACTCTAGACAGAAACCATTAGCAATTTATTTTTTTCCCAAAGAACCGGCTAATTAAAATTGTAAATAAGGCTATGTTATGTTTGTATGTACTTCTGTGAGTGTCTTTTTCATGAAGTACTAGAACATGGGTGGCTACACGATTGTTCTGCTGCATATTACAGACCAGACTCTACTTCCATCTGCCCACATGCACATCAGAGGAGTAGGCCACATTCAGGGGAAGGAGAATTTGCGAGAAAGGCTTCCACAACAGACGGCAGAATTGAGAAAGAAGAGGGCCCCAGAGAGCTCAGGAAACCTGGCTTTCTGAGGCACTATAAGAAGCCAGAGAATATTTTCCTACTGGGTTTAGTAGGTGGGTTATTATTGTTATTATTTATTTTTTGAAGATCAAAAGAATAGGATTCCCCGGTGGGAACCACAAAGAAACATGTTACAACGAAAAGCCAAAGATCAACCAATTTTAACCTTTTTCTTTCAGAGTTGCTCATGTACCATACTCAGTAGGGTATCCTTCCCACACTGTTGGCATGTTAATAATTGACAGCATTTCTTGGTATCAATTCATAAATTAAATTTAGGAAATTTATGATTTTCTTCCATGAGTTAATGATAGGCAATTATTTCTCAGTAATGGTTACCTCAGCTGGAGTTGGGTCTTTAACTAGTATATAAAACTAGACACACGAAAACAAAACTTAAAAAACTGATAAATTATAAGTTGATCATTTTCATTTACAAAACAATATACCTAGGGCTTCTTTAAATTATAAGTTCTTTGGTACATTATAGAGTTAACTCACAGACCATTAATTACGGTCAATGAACGAACAAAGAGCTTTAAGTCAATACTGATTGTTGATCGAAAAATGTACCTGACCTCTCCTCATTTAAATTGAGCCCTTTTGTTATACTCTCATAGCATACCTTACTCTCAGCATAAGATTTACTGGTTTGTAATTATGTATTTATTTATGAGATTATATGTTTAACATCTGTCTCTCCCTTGGAACCTCCATGGGACAGACTACCTCCATTTTGTTCACCACATATGCCCAAATCCAGCACAATGTCTGATCCTTAATTGTTTGTGGAATGAATGAATAAAGAAGTCATGAGGTTCTTGAAATCTTAAATTGGGGAGGTTGATTGATAGGCTTCAGATGTCTCTAAATCTCCTAAAATTGTCTAAAACAATTTTGTTTATATATACGTTTTTCTGGAAAGAGGAGCCACAACCTTCATTAGATTTCAAAGGGGTCTGTGACTTTCCTGAAAGGTAAGAAATCACTGGTGTACTTCAGTGACAAAACAGGATTCAATACCAAAGAGCTAACCAGTAGCTTGAAACAAAATATACTACAACGTACCTTTATGTGGACAGATACGTGGGTGTGTGTATAGGTGTGTGTATAATTTCCAAGAACAGAAACAGATATGCCTCTGTGAATCTACAGAACAATCCACATTCCCACTTCCCCTGAGTAACTGATCATTCCTATAGTCACTGGGCTCCTGCAGTAGCTGTTCACATTCATCTATTTCTTGGCAGCAACATCCATCACTCAGGCCAGAGAAAAGGAGTCTGTAATTCCCTCCTTTCACCTGTTCAGGGTGGTGACATCCTTCTTTGTGGAAGTTCCTTTTAATAACAAACCGGTAAACCTCCCAGTTAACAAAGGCACAGGGTGTGTTTATAAAGCACAGGTGCCCAGGCGCTTTGATCCAATAACCCTGGGATTTCCCTTCCCTTGTCCTGCAGCCAGAGAGGCGATCCAGCCTGATCAGGCTAAAGAGGCCTCCGAGTGCTGCATTCACGGCGGTGAGACACTATGGGATGTACAGGATGGGCTGGAACACGCTAATTGGCTGTTGTATATTAAATCCTTCTTCCCTCTCTCTCAGCTCCAGGAGATGCTTCCCTTCAATAAATTTCCTCCCTCGTTTTTGTCCTGAAAATGGAGACTTCAAAAGTAAATGTGTCAGAGGAAAGGGTTTGATGTGCCATTAACTCTCAGTTACCCATTTTAACAGAGAAGAGCAGTGGTGCAGATAATTCAAAGCCAAAAGCTCTTTCTATTTAGCTCTGTAGTTCATTGTTTTGAGGGGCTTGGTGGCAGACTTACCTCCCTAATTATGTTTGTCTTTGCTTCTCATGAAAATGAGTTTTTTGCCTTAGGGCCAGGCAGTCGGGTGACATGAAGATTCTGGCACAGAATTTGTAAAATTCACCAGGGGAAATCCACAAGGCACACAGATAATCAAACTTGACTAGATCTGAGTTCACGTACTTAATCACCTGTGATCAATTGCTTTGTTCCTCTGGGACTAAAGTGAGCCAGGGATGAGACATAATTATAGGAGACTTGTTGGAAGGGAATGAGCCTTTGCATTTCAATGAAGACACAAGAGTGTGTTGTGGCCAAAATTGATAACACAATCAATATCGATGCTTTCCCTGCCTGGTTCCACCACCTTCTATTCTGCAGCCAGAGTTATCTTTCGATGCAAATCTCATCGGGTTCATCTCTGTCTTACATCCTGCAATGGCTTCCTGGGCTAGTCATCAGGGCTATTCACAAATACCCCACTCTCTCCTCCCCAACTCGTGGTAAGACCATACACTTCCACCCCCGAAGTTAGATGTGGCCGTGTGACATAATGAAATGTGAGTGAAAGTGGCATGTGTCACTTCTAGGTGGAAGGTTGCAGAGCTAGTGTGTGCTTGGCTACATGCTTTGTCTGGTGAGGCAACTGGCAGCATCTGCCATGGTGGCTGCTCCATCAGCCTGGGTCCCAGAGTGACTGTGATGAGCAGAGCTCCCACCAGCCAGTGATGGGCATGTGGGAGGAGCAAGAAATAAACCCCTGGGGGCTGGCCCTGTGGCCTAGTGGTTAAGTTCAGCATGCTCTGCTTCAGTGGCCCAGGTTCAGTTCCTGGGCACGGACCTACGCCATTCATGAACCATGCTGTGGTGGCAAACCACGTACAAAATAAGGGAAGATTGGCCACAGATGTTAGCTCAGGGCAAATCTTGCTCAGCAAAAAAAAAAAGAAACCCCTGTTGTTTCAAACCGCTGAGATTTTAAGGTTCTTAGTTAACGCAGCAGATCTTTATCAAGGCACACAGCAAGCTGCACCATGATTGTCTCAGTTATCTCCCCAACTAGATGCTGGACAACTTGAGGCCAGAATTATTTCTTCTTTAGTACATTAAGCTCAGTGTATAGCATATTAAAACAACCTGCTAGGAAATGAAATTTTCTTCCTTCCTGGCCACTGTAATCCTCCATGTTTATGTTTTTCTAACACTTGCCCCCCTCCCAGCATCACCAGCTGAAATGATAAAGTGTTTTTGGTGCTCAGATATATGGGGAATGGCAGAGCTACTCTTTTGGACCAGTAGTACAAATAGGGGAGAGAGAGAGAGACAAGTCGAGGCAACTTAGCCTGTAGGCATTTCAAATACAGTGGGTTCAAGGGGCAGACAAGATTTGGAAATAAAGTCTTGGGGCGACCACATGGAAAAAATAGTATCCCAAAAAGTTAGTTTTATGAGGGATCACAGGTGTTATCTGGACTAGACTCCTACATCATCATCATTATCGTAATAGCAATACTTATTAATAATTACTATGTACCAGGCACAGCTCCAACTGCCCTACAATTAACTCACTGAATCCTCACAACAACCCTTATAAGGTAGCCATTATTATTTCCATTTTACAGATGAGGAAATTGAAGCAGAGAGAGGTAAATTCCCTGTGGCCACACGGCTAGCAAATATCCCTCTCTGAATTTAGGGTCTGCTTGAACACTCCCCATCATGGGAGCTCTCTAACTCCCAATGCATCCCACCCCAAGCCATGTCCTGTCTCCCCCTCCAACTGCCGTCCCCCGGGCAGTTCTGCCTCCTCAACTAACACAAGCCTCCTCGACTAACACAAGGCTATCCCACCTTCCTCTCTCCAAAGTAGCCGTGCGCATATCTGAAGGAAGCAATCAGTCCCTTAAGGCTCTTCTTCTCCAGCCTAAACAGCCCCAATTCACTCAACCGTTTCCAAAGCACCACAGCCTGAGGTCCCTCACCATCCCAGCTCAGTGACTCACATATGCTGGTTGGTTTAAGTCAGTGGAGTGGAACTGGTGACTCTCTCTTCTAGTCTTGAGCTGAGCTAATGCCTTCTACAAGCCCAGCACATTCCTTTCACCACGTAAAGCAGGGTCTGGAGGCAGAAATGGGGCCATAATCTGCTACAGGAATAGCTGGCTGGCCATGTGTCCTGGCACGTCCCCATCCTGGCAAATGGAATGCTAAAGGATCCTCATGTTCAGAGTTCCTCATTCTTACTCAGGTGGGAAGTCTGTTTCTGGCCCCCTGCCCCCAGTTCCCTCCCCTCTCCTCCTCCGCTCACCACTCTCCGCACCCCCCGAACCCCCAAGGCAGTGCTGAGAACAGGCCCTCCACTCACCATGGAGTTCATGGCGAAGTGATTGTGCTGTGTCTGGAGGTCTAGGGCATGCTGGTAGCTGACTCCGATCTCCGTATGGCTCTGAAGGAATAACTCCTTGTTGTGGCTTATCCAGTCGAACATCTAGAGGGGACAAAACAGTACAGAGTAATCAGAAGGGTCATGGGTTCAGCAGCACAAAACTTCCAGAGCTGCTGGAAGAATGAGAGCTCTCCTGCTGTGCCTAGTGAGAATCAGTCATGTTCTCAGAATGGGGCGACCACAGCCTGGTTTCCCAGGAGAGCCTCACTTTTAGCATGAGGACCCACCATCAGCCTCTGTGTTTCTCTATAGAGACTAAGGAAAAAAGAGAAAATGAGTATGAGAATCAGGGAGACGGGGAGGAAGCTGTTCACTATGTCTAGTTATTTACCCTCTGTAAAAACTTAGAAAGCCTCAAAAGGGGCCATGTGTGCTTTAAAGACAGGTGATGAGGGACAAGCTGGGAGGCTTAATCCATTCCCTCCTGCACCAGTGGAGGAGAGAAACCCTTGTGGAAGCAACGGGGCATCCTGACATGCCCCTATCCCACTTACACACTGCCCAACCACATACCTCACAATTCGAGGGTTTCTGCTATAACCCATCAGGAACCAGAGGAGGAGGATTCAAGCGTAGCATACACACAGCCTGGTGCAGTGTGCACTGAGCCCCTTTCTTCCCCTGAGCTCTGTACCCTGGTTTTCATTTAGGTTTCCACCTCTCTCCCAGGCAGCCTGCATGCTTTAAAGGGAGACGACCAGAACCCCAGTGCCAAGGAGGTCCTGATCACTCTAAAGTTTATCCTTCCTCAGGACACCAGATCTAAGCCAATCAGCATGTGACATTTCCCAGCCAATGGGATTGTCCCAGAAATAGGAACATTATCCAGTTCAGTACAAGAAAACATGAGGGGAAGTTTGCTGGAAGCTTCTGGAAAAACAGAACCCTGGTTCTGTAGATACAACTTTTCTTCCTCTGATACTGTCATTGTGACCCTGAGCCTCAAATTGTTGCAGCCATTCTGCTGGCAGCTTGAGGGTGAAGCCAATGGGTAGAGAAAGGGTGTAGCCAAAACAATGGCAGGAAATAGGCAGAGCCCTGATTGAGCCTTGCCTGATCTCCATCTTGTCTCTGGATTTCCTTAGTACCTAAGCCAAGAAATCCTTTTTACTATTCAAGCTGGTTTAAATTGGATTTTCTGCCCAGAGCAGTCAAATGATACCGCCAGGAAATGTGTGAGACTTTTGCAGAAGAAGACTGCTATAGCTGGCACTGATGCTCCATAGTTTGGGATGGGCTGAAGGCTGCAATTCAGGGAGAGCAGAGCAGAGCAGGCAGGAGCTGAACACAGGTGCAGTTTGAGATGCTGCAAAGATCACACCAGCTTTCCTGGAGGCAGAACTGCAGCCGCATTCCATTATTTCTCTTTAAATGGAAGAATGAATTCACTTTTTCAGTTACATTCAACCAACATCTTTGGGACACTGACTATGTGTCCAGCACTGTCCAAGGCAACAGAAAGGCAAAAATGACTAAAATGTGATTCTTGAGTTTAAGAGGCTTAAAGCCCAGTGTGCTAAGCAGACACAGATACAATATTAGTACAACCTGGCATATGACTTGATTAAAATGACACCTCAAAAAAAAATCTCTTGAGGTAGAGGCCAACGTGGGCTATCAAGGTAGCACAGAGGTAGCACCCACCCTTGATGGCATGGGAACAGGGAAGAGCAGAGAAGGCTTCCCAGAGGAGGTGACACCTGAGTCGAGCCTTGACTTAGGTAGGAATTAGACAGCTGAAGATGAGTGGATGTGAGCTCCAGGCCAAGGGGAGATCAAAGGGGCAGAACTGTGGGGCAGCCCAGTGTGTCTAGGGCTCTGAAAGCATCCCAGCTGTGTGTCTGGAGGCTGATGTAAGGAGTCAGGCTGACCATGGAGAGCCCTGGACACAGGCTTCAGGAAACCTGGACCATATACTATGGGCAGCAAGATGTCGGTGGAGGGTTTTAGGCTGAGCAGTGAAGTGTGATGTGAGCTTTGATAGCAGCGTGGGATGTGGATTGGAGGGGGTGGGAGGGAGCAGAGAATGGTTATGAGGCTTTATAGTAACCCTATGAGTGAGGCTGGGAACGTGGAAACCTGGCTTCGGAGAGTAGCAGTGGAGTCTGAGAAGTGGGCAGATTTGAGAGCTTCTACAAATAGGATTGAGGACTCACAATGGTTTGAGGAGAGAGTGAGGAAGAGCTTAGGAGAACAGCCAGGTTTCTCCCTGGTGCCCTGGCATGGCGCCCCAGGTCCTTGTAATAAAAGGTGCCACCACAGGTGCTACCTAAAGAGGAGGGTAACAAGCTTGGGTGGGGTGGGGAGATAGGAAGTTCTGTTTTAGATGGTTCTGTTTGAGGGGCTGAGGAGAGTTTCAGGCAGAGGTGTTCTGTGGGCAGTTAGAGTTACGTGTCTGGAGAGACAACTCACGCTTAAGTATAAAAACATCACCTTCAGAAAGCAAACGTGCATGATTTTGAGATGATACTCCCTTCTGAATTACTCAGATCACTTCTGGATACCTACGCTGATAATAAAGGAGGGACGGAAGTATCATTCATCACTTTCGAGTGTCGGAGGATGTTTCAGGCTGGGGGGTCCTGTGCGGGCAGGGTTGATATCTGCAGTGTGCACTACCCCAGGGCCACCAGCCATGGCCAGCCCCACACTCGGGCAGGGGTTTTTAACTAATTATTATTAAGGACAAGGGGAAAAAGAAGAGAGGTGCCCCAGGAGTTCAGGGGACTCTCATTCTGTAATTTTTGGTCTTTAAAATTCTGCCTCTCGGGCTGGCCCCGTGGCTTGGCGGTTGAGTGTGCCAGCTCCGCTGTTGGTGGCCCGGGTTCGGATCCTGGGCATGCACCCACGCACCGCTTCTCCAGCCATGCTGAGGCCGCGGCCCACATACAGCAACTAGAAGGATGTGCAACTATGACATACAACTATCTACTGGGGCTTTGGGGGGGAAAAAAAGGAGGAGGATTGGCAATAGATGTTAGCTCAGAGCCGGTCTTCCTCAGCAAAAAGAGGAGGATTAGCATGGATGTTAGCTCAGGGCTGATCTTCCTCACAAAAAAAAAAAAAAATTCTGCCTCAACCCTATTTTAAAATAATTTCTTATCTCTTTTCCTTATTGACAAAAGAATCAATAACGTTAATGAAAATCTGAAATGCCTGAAGTCCTTGGAACTTTGATGAAAAGTGCTCACTCCATATACTTTCTTAGATATCCCTGTGGCTGAGAAATGACCATCCCTGGATTTTATGTTAAATGACTATTTAGATATGCAAATGAGCAGCAGAGTTATGTGCTACCAGCTGAATGATTAGATTGCCCGGTGCCCGGTCCCCACTGGACTACACAGCAGGACTAACCTGCTGAACTCAAGCAGGTTAGAGTCGGGAGCAATAAGAAAAGTGAGTTAAAAGACAGGCGAGAGCAGAGAGTGCGGGAGGAACTGTACATCTCGTTGAATGGGCTTCCCACAGCAGGAGGTCTGTGCTATGCCATTCCACTGGATTCCGGGGTCTACCTTGGAGCATAGGAGCTGCTCTCCAGTGGCCAGGCATTCTGGGAAAGTTCAGCTGTGCTGGAGGCAGCACTCCAAAGAGGCGATACATGTCTCTGACAGAGAGAAAAAGACCTGCTCTGGGGACCAGGTGGTCCCACGTGATATCAAGAACCAGGGTCTCTCCAAGATGGCTGTTTCCTAGGGACAGTCTCATGTCTTCTCTGGGCCCGAAGCTACTACCTAATTGTATATAATCCCTACCCTTGTGAGGCTGGCTGTCTGCAAGGGTCACCAGCATTTCTGTTGCATTCAGTGGCAACGGCTGCAGAGAGAGAATGTGTGCATGTGCACGTGCCTAGGCACGTGTGTATGTGTGCATGTATATGTGTGTGCACTCATGTCTGTGTATGTGTGCAGTCAAGTGGGATGAGGACCAGGCTTGGCTCTGTCACTAACCACCCAGGAGATTGTGGGCAAGTCTCTTCATTTCTGGGCTTCTCCTCCTTTGCAAGAGACAAGTGCTTCCAAAAACGGAGGTAAGCATCCTGGTTCACAATTGGCTCAATTTGGAAACTTATGGAATGTATTTTTTTCCATTCCAAATGAAAAGTAGTTTTATTGAGTCTTCTGGATCAGAAGGCACATTCATTGCTACAACTTACATTTCTAACTTTTGAATAGAATAATGTCAGTGAGAAAACAGGCATTGTTTGATAGCCAGAGAAAGGCAGCTTCTTAGTCTCAGCCCTGACATTTGTCTGGTGCTTTAGAGTTCAGAATGTCCATTCACATGCATCATCTCACTGCATCCATCAGGCATACTTTACAGATGGGAAACAGGTTCAGAGGTCTGGAATTCATTCATTCCACCCAAGGCACATTCACTGAGTGCCTGTTGAACCAGGCTCTTGGGACATGCTCTGTGTCCTGCATGCGGCTGTAGGACCTCCTCTGCCTGGGCTCCACCCTTTTACCCCCCAAAAGGCAGCCACCAGGGCCCTGTGGGCCTCCAGCTGAGGTAGGGTGCTGTCCCTTACATGGGGCCATTCACTCTCCAATACCCAGCCTCCTCCTCTCTCATCACCTCTGCCCCTTCAGTGTCTGGGGACGACCCATTCAAACAGTGCCACTTCTCTTCAATAAATACTTCACAAATGAATGAATGCATGAGTGAGTTGGCCACAAACTCTGGGATTGCTGATCTCCATACAAGCTGACCCTTTCTACACTCCCTTCCAGCTAGGACATTTTATGATTTGATCCATTTGAATTGGGCCCTCTGGAAGACAGGTGAACTAGAATAACCCAAAGATCTAAAGAAAAACTAAAGAAAATATCTCCACAGTGGTTTCAAACATTTTGTCTTTTTTTTTTTTTTTTGAGAAGCTACAAACGGTAAGTTCAACAAAACATAATATAACAACAAAATTCCTCCAAGAGGAAAGTTCATGCCTAAATAATGAAATTTTATCTCTTTGTTTGGAAACTAACATAGTTTTGTCTCGCAAGAAGATAAATGTTACATGTAAGCTACTTGGGTTTTTTTTT